TCAGGTGTGTTGACCCAAGGTGAGATCTAAAACCTGCAGGGACACCGGCCCTCGTGGACTGAGATTGCCCACCCCTGCTCTCGACGGGCAGGTTTAGGGTGCAGTGTAAGTGAATATGGCACTGAAAGAGGAATAGAGCTCACCACTGTTGTACTGCACGGGGATGTGCTCAGTCAGCAGCTCATGCTCACTTCGCACACCGATGACCATAGGACTTCCTCTCCTGCCAAGATAAGAGGGGGGGGATGGGAGAAGGATTAGGTTTCACATTCATTGTCAGATCCAATCTCGTGATGCTTTGTAGGAGATGTCCTGACATTCTTTACTAAAATGCTTCTAAACAAAGCAAAATATTAAAGAAATCTATTAGTTTGTTCTTGCTTATACTACTGCACATTCAGTGTGTTCATCATTAGTCCTTCATATTTTGTACATATTTCCAAGACTGCTTGACAGTTCCTGGAACAAGTCACTGGATCCGTATTGGCTGCTGATGCCATGTGGACGTCTCTTATTGGCTCAGGAGGCAGAGGAAGTGTAAACATTTATCACAGGTGGGGGAGGAAGGTGTGAGGACACCAATCTTAAAACAGGAGACACCTTTACACGCACTTTAGTGATCGCAGTGCAAACAGTGTGTCAAAACACAACCACTTCCTTGTGAGTTAAGAAGCTGTATTCTAAAGGCCTCTCCTTACTTCTCCTCCTTCTCTTGTCTGCATCTTTTCTCTCTGCTTCGCATGTCTCTTGGGCTGTGTTGACGTAAGCACGATGGTTGTTTTAAGAGGCGTGGGGCTTGAAAATGGAGGATTGCAAACAGAGACATGTGGTGGCCATCCAGTACAATATTGTAGTTTCGCCAAAGGAGGGAGAGATGGGAAGAGGTGAAATCAACGGAGAGCCTTATCACAATAACGATGTTTAAAGGACCACTTTGGCTTGTTTGCACTAAACCACACCAAGCACACTCTAGTGTGTATGGCATGCAAGAATAGCAGAATCAGAGGGGTGTGACGTCTAACACAACAGCATCCGCATGGAATGGTGCTGGATCTACTTTCGGATTTGGTTCGATTCAGTGTTTTACAACTTCCTCTCCAGGCTGAAAGGCACAACAATAAAGTGCCTGTTACAGAGACCGGTGAGGCAGAAAAATGGCGCAATGCTACACCTTCAACAGGGTATGACAGGGACTTGTATTAAATAAAAGACACGAGTGGAAATGGCAGAACAAAGTCCCAGAAAGCAAAGCCGAGGTGGTGAGAGTAAAGGTTTGGCTGTGAAGGTCATCCATGATGGCAAAGGGTGGGTGGTGTCTAGCATCACTAGATAATTGAAAACATTCCCCTTTTCCCTCTGTTTTGGCAGACAATGCTGATTGTTAAACATGTAAACCACAAAAATACATCGAGTACGGCCAATGACATGCGTTACACTGATATCGGCTTTCAGAACGCAGGCGACAGCTGAGACAGCAGAGATTCATCTTAAATTCATCTTAAAAACACGGTGAGATTTTACGCCCACTTCTCATTTTGCCGCCCTCCTCATTTCTCTCTTCCTTCTTAACTTACTCCATTGCGCTGCCTTTTCCCTGATCTCTGAGATCACTGAACCAGGAAAGGTATGAATAAACTGATGAGAAACAATTAACCTGGAGTTTCATGTGACCCAGCCAAATTTCCTGGAGCTGAAACGCGAACCCCTCATTGTTAATAAGTTACAGAGAAGGTGGCCCAGGGCCAGGGTCCCAGAAGGGAGGGGAGGCTCTCAATTCAGTCTCTGGTCCTAAGATGCAGATTGTACTGACACATAGCCGAACAGGAATTTCCTCAGGGCATATATCCACTATTATAAACAAAGGACGTTCCAGTGTCCTGTCATAGTAAATGTAAGCTCAGATAAGCCACAACACATAAATCTAAGGAGCCTCCTAAAATCATATTGCTTTATTGTGGTAACAACAGGAATGAGTCACTCCCAGTGAGTCTGGTTCATATTCCTGGGCGGTATGTGTGAAAGACAGTGTGTGACTGAGTGTGCGTCAGAGCGTGCATACTAACCTGGTTGCCACGGCCTCTCCGGGGAAATGACGGCTTTTAAACACGAGAGCAAAGGCCCCCTCCTATAACACAGAAAAAAAGCAATGGGAAAAGAGAATTCAGTTAAGCTTGATAAAAAAATTCAGTCCAATAAATGATGAAGAAACGAAGGGTGAGGAAGAAGGATAATAATAATAATAATATCAAAATAAAATAAAAAGAAATATCTCGAAAAGTTAACGCAAAGTCAATTAACCATTCCAGGAAAGTGTGGGACCTTTGAGAGACACAGAGCACAAACAAATGTTTCTCCTGGCCCTGCGGGGTTTTAAACATGTGTGTGCGCATGTGCGTTTGTATGTGTGTTGGAGGGGGGATGTTAAGGTGGAAGGTGGTGGGTGTGCATGTGTGTGTGGAAACTGGGGGGGTTAAAAGAAAAAAGACCCCTATTGTACAAGATCAGCTGTGTTTCGAAAGGACTGACTTCAAGTCTGCCTGTGGTGGTTATTGAAGCCAAACTGGCTGAGTGTGTGGCTGTGGTGGTGAAATATGGGGTGGGGGTTAAAGGATGGGTGGGTGGATAGTGGGTAAGCAAGCATTCAGTAGAGGGCGAAGGGATGGTGTCATGATCCGGGATTTTTTTAGTGGGTATCTCAACCGTCTGGTTCCCATTACTCAGAATGGCCGCCTATACTTCCTCTGTTCTTCTACTCTGAGATTGTGACATGAAAGTGTTACTCACATGATTAAAAACTGACGTTTTTTATTTTATTTTCTTTTTTCCCTTTTTTCTGTGACTAATGATGTCACTGATGATGCTGTTCAGGCGGTTGCCATAGCATGTGTGTTTGTAATGGAGCGTGTTTTTTAATGGACAGGAAATTTAAGCAGTTTCACATCAAGTAAAATAAGTAAATGAGTGTTTGACTGTCACGGATACACTTTATGACATTCAGTGACAGTCTTTTAGCCTTCATGGTTACCAGCAAACTCGCTGTAAAACTTTTCCACTGCTTAAACTGAAGCAAAAACTGGAGAAGAAAGCAAAAGAGTGCATCTGTGAAGCCATGAAGTAGGCCATTGTGCATTGCTGCTATGAGAGCAACTCACCAGCTGTTTAATCACCCTCTCTACTAGCTTGGAGAAAGTGATGCTGTCATTCTCTCTGTTGTCATAAACATATTTGATCAGCTTCGGGATCACCTCTGTGTCTGTCTCTGACTCAAACTCGTAACCTTTGTTGATCTGAGGAAGGCAAAAAAAAGAAGTTAATATTAATTTAATCCACACTGTTGAACTGTTTCTGTATTAAAAGCATTTAATGAATCTTCCAGCAACACACGCATGCTCAGTAGCTCAGAAACCTCAACAGAATTAATGTGGAACAGATTAAAGTTTTGACTTAAGACTGAAGTCCATATTTTCTTTGTGTAGACGTAAATTAGAAGAAAAATCCAATCAGATTTGTAACATCTAGTATCTTAATACACACATATATATATTTTCTTTTATTTGCTTAAGTGATGTGACAAATTGACTACCAAACTCATCTACATCCACAATAACAGTGTTATAATCAATGGAACAAATGGCAATGACAATAAGGCCTTCAGCATAGGAAGTGCGTTTACGTCAAGAGGATTTTTTTCTAATGAGATGATGACGTACCAGGTACTTCTTCAGCTCTTTGTAGTTGGTAATGATGCCGTTATGGATGACGACAAACTCTGAGAAAGACAAGAGTGAAAAGATTATAGAAGCTATGTACCCGCTGCACCTTTAGGGCTCGAGGACAACAATGTTAAGTGTGCGCTTAGGCAAGTTTAACACAAAGCACTGGATTTAACAGCTACTCAACACTACTATCAATACAAGGTGGACAATTTAAAAGAGTACGAACAAGTGCAAAAACATACATTATCATAATGATAACAACATAATAAGACTGCTGTACTTTTTTGCAAACTAATTTTGAGTCAGTTTTGTAATTTTCTGTCACACTTTAATTCTGATGAGTATGTTCTAAAGCCAAGATACATAACTGACACACCTGTAAACGTGGCACACTTAGGACAAACCTTTTGGTTTCAGTTCATGAATAGAAGGCGTGCCTGTGCACTAAAAAGGTAGGCGGCACGGTAATTTAATGCTTTCTTTTTAATGCTTTAGTATTAAGCTTAGAGTGAAATGATTTAAAGCAAGGGAGAACTATGGAGTCGAGTCAACATTTTTTTCAGGGAATCAAAATGTAATATGTGTTTCGTTTTAAACCATTTATTTCATTTGTTGGGCATGGATGTTAAAGCAGTAGTTGGAAGAATTCTGAGGGAATTTGAAAACAGATAGTCCTCAACTCATTGTTCTAAGCAACTCTGACAAAATAAGCAAAGAGGGCATTTGCATGTGCTTCACATGGAAAGGAGAAAAAAGTGAGCCAGCGCAGAGTTCTGACGTCACCCTGGACGTGAACCCAACTTCTTCCATGTGAAAATCTCTCGTCAACCCTCTGCAACAGAGATGCCAAACTCATTTCACATATGTACAGCCCACTTTGCTTTAAAGCAGGCCGACCGAGTCAAAGATATTTAACCTCCTGAGATCCGAGCTCTTTCATGGCACGCACCTAATTTTGGTTTCTGAGAAAAATTAGAGTTGAAACAACATATGAGGACATTCGTTTAAAATGTTGATAGAAAAGTGGCAGTATAATGTCCTCGTAAGTGGATATCAGGCCCTTGTAGAGAAAAATTTGGTATTTTGGTCTAAACATTTAATCCCCGAAAAGTTTTAACATAAAAAAGACAGTAATCTCATTTTTTTAAATTATAGAGATGTAAAATTAGCAAAAAGATGTGGTAGATCATTGCCCAGGCTGGCCTGTATTTGTAAAACGCATAGTTTTAGTTAAATCACCGGATTATTTTCTCCATAGTAGGTAGTGAAAAACAGGAACTTTATTATTTTGTGTTGTGTGAATGGCATTAGGGAGCTCTTTATTGGTAGGAAAAAATGCAGAAGTTATGAAAATACAGTTAAAAGTTTACTCTTTCACATTTTTCCAAAGCCTTCCAGCAGTCTATATCTTCCTTATATCTGATATCCTTGCTCTGCAACGTTAATTATTCGTACACCTGTGTAGACTTTCTTGTTCTTTATTCTATTTAGCTGATTTGATCTAAAAAGATCATGTAAAAGTAAAAACCAGCCCCAAAGAGGAGCAAGATGCTAATTATTAACATGCAATTATTATGGATTTGTTTTTCAGTGACTTGCTGTCTATGAGGATCCCATAAATGTATACTTTGTGAGTATATCTTACCATTATCCTTATCAGAGCGATGAGGATGGCTGTTGAGAGCGCTCGGCTCTCCGTGGGTGGCCCATCGGGTGTGAGCGATGCCAAAGTGTGTGCACAGTTCTTCATCAAGGTTCAGCGAGTCCTTCTCTGGACAAGCAAAAACACAAAACCAGCCCTGTTACTGACATGACAAGAATTCAGATGATTTTTAAGCTTGACAAATGCTAAAATTTTTTCAGAATTCCTTCAATTGTTTTGTATTTTTAAAGAAGACGAGAAGATTTCTGAGCTAATCAGAACCAAGTGAACAGACAAAGAAAAAAACCCAAAGAAACCCACTGTAAAGCTCCTCGTCCAGAGCCTTGACCTTCCCTGTCTTCTTGATTAAACAGATGCTGTTATTGTTTCCGTCACTTGTTGTCTTGCTAGGGCCATCCACAGCAATACCTGGTAACAGGGAGAGAGGGTGGAGGTGAGGTGTTAACTCATTTTTTCAAACAAAAAGGCAGCAAACAGTAAAGTGTCAAAATGCTGTGTTTAGGTGAGCGGTGCTCACTATAACAATAATGCTCACCACAAAAATACATGAAAGATTTTGAACATGAGTTTCAGCAAGATAAGTTAGGACAGTCAAAGCAGCTTGAGATACAATACGTTATTATAGGAGGTACTATTTCTGATTTTGCATGTGCGTGTTTGTTTTACAATGACCTTCTGATTCTGTTGCTTCATCCTGCTCGAACAGGATGAACAAATACGAGCATGTGTTTGTATGGGTGTGCTTTTTGTTTGGGATACTATAGAAACGCTCTGAGTTAGATGTCACTGTCAAAGGATCATATTGTTTTCCAGCCCAACTATCCCAAACATGACATGTTTCTCTTTAATGAAGGTACTGCGGCTTCGGATCACTCTTACAGACGACAATAAAATTTAATGACCAAATTCCCTGTTGACTTAGTGGTTTGATGTGTAGCAGGAGGTGGAAGGTTGAAATAAATTTGAACAATTAAAAGGCAAAAGATTTTTATTTAAGCAGCGTCTGAGTAAATGGTGATACTTTCATTTTGGTTTTTAGAAGTTAGGAGAAGTTAATCTTCATCACTGTCACTGCAGGCGCGATACTTTTTGTACTTAAAGGCTTCATGCTTGTGTAAATGAAAACATTTCATGATGTTATTAAGTAAAATATAATATGCATCTGTGTGCTTATAGAAGAACATTTGATTGCGATAGGAGAGCTAGTCCACATACTCGGAGCTCGCCCGTCCGCAAGCAGCTCTAAGTGTTTACTGGGCAATAAGTTGGGGGCGGTGAGCTGTAGTAATAAAGTCTGTAGGAGATTAGTGCAGTAGTAACAATGTTCATATCCTTGAGAAAGAGGATACAATGCAATATGATAATATTCCTCAGCTTTAAAACGCAACAATCACACAGTTGTCCCATCTCTCGAATTTCATAGTTGAATCAGAAATTATACCAAGACTCCTCATGTGAAGGCGAATGTTGTTTTCTAGGACCTTACGTAAGTGATTAAACTTGCAGTGTCATTCAAAGAGTCTAAAAAATCTGCAGTCATATCAATCTTCAAAACAACTAATAGGACCTTCAAGTAAAGCACAAGCAAGTAGGCTGGAAGATGAGGAAGAGGATCTTTCTGCTAAGTATGAGGCTTACTTAGTAGATAAGGGCTATGTCTCAGAGGCCAGTTTGATCTTGGTAAATGCTAAATGGACTGATTCTTTTATAGTGCTTTCTGCTCTCCCAGAGCACTCAAAGTGCTTTAAGACAGTTTAAAAGAATCCAGTGGTAAACTGCACAAATACCACTTTTCCTCATCTTTGTGCAGCCTGTAAGTAGGTGAAGTCGTGTCAGATACTATTATCATGTGGAATCTGAGGCTTAAGTTGTTATTGTCTAAATAGGTTTCCTCTGGGGCTCTAAAGGTAATATCGGAAAGATATTAGTGTTGGAGGGTCCATACTTTGTTTCTATCTTCTAAATTCAGAATGTGGTCCAGTGAGCTTATGTTTTAACACAGAAGTTGACCCAGATGTGTTTCTGTTGTGTTGACTCATTATTGTGGAATGTTAAAACCACAGTGGTTATTAAAATGTGTTCAGAATTTGCAAATTGATGATGATCTATCTTTTAAACCACGATGCACTGCTTTCTCCTACAGCTGCCTTTAGAGGTTGAGAGGATCGGTACTGGTATCCGCCATACTGGCGCTGTATTTACCTGGTATAGGAATGATAGCAAAATGAATGACACCACTACCAGCTAGAAATGTATGTAGGTCAAATATGCTTTTAGAAGGAAAGCTGTGCTGACACGTCACTTATATCACTTTGCTAAGAGTTACAGGTATCGAATGCTACACTGGTTCTTCTATACTTGAGAGTATTTCATTTCTAAGTTAGCCTACATGTGCTGGAAGCGGTTCAGCGGATAAGACTGTGCCTTTATAGAGATCACAGTATTCACTGCGTGCCTGCAAATATTACAAACAAGCGTTCAAGAGCAAATCCTGATATATTTATTTAGTGTTTATGTATTGAATTCTGTGAAATGTTTCCTTGATTTCATACAGGTGCGGCCAGGGGGAACTAAAAGCATCTGTGGTGCGTGTGTATACGTGTGTGGGTGTGGGAGTGTGTGTGGTAACTGTGAAGTTGAGTGTCTCACCTGCTGAATCGTACCCTCTGTACTCCAGTCTCTGCAGTCCCTTCACCAGCGTCTCAAATATCTCCTTTCTGGTGCGAGGCACTTGGTAATTCAGGTAGGCAAAGATCCCTTTTAGAGAAACAGAAACAGAACCTGAATCCTCTGAAAGGCTCAATGCTGCAGTCAGAGTTGAAACTGCTGTCAAAGTTCATTTAGTTTAGACAATCTATTAGGAATACTTCTTGCAAACAGCATCAAGAAACACACAGTGGATAGAAGACATTACTTGGTGAGTTTCATTAATAGGTCATTAATAAAGAAGATAAAGCTGCAATAAAGATTCACTATGACCTTCATCAAACTTAAGCTGCTCTACTTGATATGAGCAAGTGCAGGAAGAATAATCATCAGAGGATCTTTATTTTTGCGACAACGAGTCTGTAAGTCAAATGTAGTATAAGGACTTGTTGTAAGGTTTAGAGCATATGTCCTCCGAAGTGGTGGAAACACGACGGCGTGTGTGTCTTTGCAGGAATGTTCCGGGCAGCTCTGCTCCCGCAGGCACACAGCTGGCCATTGACGGACAAACATTGCACGCAGTGTTGTAGCAGCCAGGTAGAGAGGGTAAAATAAAACTCCAGCAATATCGGCCTCTTCCTTGCAGGCTCGGGGTGAGGCCGGAGAACTGTTAAACATTTACTTCAGACTGTAAACGCTCTTCTTTAAGAGTAATAAAAAAAGTGAGACGCGCTATCACCTCAACCTTCCCGGGACAAAAGCGGGTCGCTGTGAATGAAACAGACCGGTCTTTTGACAGATGGATGACTGGTCTAACTGGTCTGTCCTGTCCCTCACACCCGTGTCCTGTCCCACACACCCTAACACTGACACGTAGCAGCTGAGTCTGAAACTTTTCAGGAATCCACACAGAGTCGAAAACAGAGCTCAAACTACACAAAGTTCAAAGTGACTACATGAAACTTTGACAAAATGACACGTCTGCCAGTATCTTGCTTTGTAACTTGCATTTAAATCATCGGTAGTTTCACTGGCCACTGTCCATCAAAGCGACTCCCGTGCGTAATTGCCGCAACCTTTCCAACATCTTTCTGAAAAAGGCAAATTTACGAAGATAAGTCTTACCGCACATGGTTCAAGTTTCGTCCTCGCTCCCGCACACGGCTCCGCTGAAAAATGAAAGAGAACGTTTGTAATTTCTCGATCGGAGTGATGCTTCTACCGCTTCTACATTAAATCCAGACGGACTGCGCTCTCCAGTTCACTCCCCCTCTCTATTTAACTACTGAATCCTGGAGAGGCGGCTGCCGCACCTCCTCTAACACCTCCCCCGTTGCCTGCTCTGTTAACCCCGTCCTGGTGTCGGACGCAGGTGTTCACTACTTCATCAGTCGAAGGATGGATGAACTTGGTTTTATCCCAACCCACCTGCCAGCGTCAGCCGGACTCAAGAGTTTGTAGACTTTGACCACAGTGTGAATAATAATAATGGCTTTTCTCTTTAGTTATGCATTTGGGTAAGGTGGGGCCCTGCCTTCTCTAATTCAGCTTCAACAGTTTTCACAGCACTTCTGGTTCTGAATGAAGAATCAGGCCTTCACCATCACTGAAGCATGCAGGCTTTAAAAAAAAAAATCAATTTGTTAAAATATATGGAAATCGAACTGATTTAAATCCAGACTAAACATTTTTAAACAGGGATCCGTTTATAGCCACGCATTACTCTAAAATGACGTCTAGTTTTCTGTACTTATCCCCGAATTAGCAGAAACTCAGGAATCAATCGGCACAGTTCGTGATAACAAGGTGTTTGAAAAACTTGCATAAAGGACCATTGTGTAAGGGTTTCTACTTAAAAGAAGCAGAACATTATCAGGAATGGTGATTCATTCATTCATTCATTCATTCAGCAATATGGCATGTCAGGAATGTATTGTCTACATGCTTCAGAGATCACGGTTTTTTTCCTTACATATGATAAGTGTATTAGCGTCCATTGCTTCTTTGTAAAACAACTTTTACCTCTTCAAGCGCTAAAGCTGCAGGTTTCCTTACATTTCTTCCCTTGTAGGTGTGAACCTTACTTTCTTGGATTCCTTAGAGACCTTGTGGTCAGTGTATTCGGACTGGACTTGTAGTCCTAATCCTGCTGATTGCATATCCTACAGTTGGAATAGTGTATTAGCGCTAAACAGTAACACTCCAGTATTTCTAGTTCAGTCATAACTAATCATCCATTCAGTGACTCAAGCTACTGTTGTCTGTTTTTCTGATGAACCTGCATTTCTAATGAAAGGTGACAAGTTGAGTTCTTCAGAAATGTCCAGGAGTGGCTGTCTTTTGAAATGTCAATAAAGCTTTATATCTTTCTGCACTTAATGTTACAAATAATGTACGAAATGATCAAAACAAAACAAAACAAAACAAAACCAGTTGCTATCCCAGGCCATATTTACATCAGTTATCCATAATTATGTAATTTCTTGCATACTGGGATTTTAGCACATAGCAGGCTGAGACGATGTCGTGTAGAAGTATCAGCATCTTGCCCAAAGATACTTCAGCATGCAGACTGGAGCAGCCAGGAGAAACCACCAACCTTTCAATTAGTAGATGACCTGCTCTACCTCCTGAGTCACAGGCGCCCCAGCAGCTCAGCTTGTTAATAAAGTTAGCATTTTTAAAAATTGTCGATAAAACTCTTTTTAGATTAAAGGTTGCATTGGTAACAAGAAGCATTCAGTTTTCAACCAATAAATCATCAAGTTAAGCCAGAAGACCTTGGTGGATGAATGACAACGCTATCAAAAACATAGCCTCCATGGTGTGGGCTGTTAAACTGTAATCATATGGGAAAAAAATGACTGTTTATTTGGTGGAAAAATAGTTCTTTGTGCATAGATCCCCTCTTCTATGAGTATGTGAATAGTTCCTGTTGTGTTATGTGGCCAGAAAAGCAATTTTGCTAGTCCCTGTCATAAAAATATACTTCGATGAGTTCTTGCAACTGTGTAGTGACCATCTGGTGAAATGGTAAACGCTCTGATTTCTAAACTCTTAAAAAAGAAAGAAGGAAAAAAATAAACTCATTTCACAACTGCCCAATAATTCAGTTTTATTTCTTATACTGTAACTTTTAAACCTCTATCAGTTTTATTGTTCCTACTGCTTCTAGTTTTCTGTGGTGCAAAGGTCCTCCAAGTGCTCTGAACTGACTCCAAGGCAACATTAATTGTTAATGAAGACAATAAATGAAACGGCTGACAGGTTTATATCGATTTAGGAATGATGTTATTTAGACAGAGAGGCAGATATGAACTTATCTGTGCCCCGGCATGTAACTCGGTTGCATATGTATCAAAAGACACGGAGTAAGTAGTGTGCATGTGTCCACCCAGTTAAATTAAAATCCCAGACTCAGAGAAGTATGAAAATGGGTGTTCCTGTGTTCCTTCTGACCACATCATATCCACAGTCCATGGCTACTTTAAAGGAATGTGTGACGGTCTGGCCAAGTCACACGCCTCACCTCGCTTTTTCCAAACCCCATCAGCCCACACTGAGGGAGAACTATTTTGAAAATGGTGTTTAATTGAAGCCTTTTGCGTACAATCCTCTTCCCTTTTTTTTTGTACTCTCTGCCAACTCATGTCAAGGTGTGCTGCTGTAGAAGTTTGTGAGTGAGAATCAGTGACAAGAGCCAAAGAACCACATTCCTCCCCTGGCTTAAGGGATTAATAAGTATAATTGTCTGTGCGATTTGACACGGTTATCCAATGAGATTCACCCCAAAGATCAAAGGTTCTTTAATGACTACAACGATGTAAAATGATGGGCACAAGGAGAGGTTTGGCCCCAGCTTCAGTCAAGCTTTAATTCATTTTCACATTAAGGGTTTGAACCAATAACCCTTTAACTTATATTTGTCTAGTTATTCAGTCTTTGATTTATTGATATTTTACTGGTGATTAATACCATCTAACTGTCTAAGTGCCAGAAATATTCATTAGGCCACACCTACATAAACCTAATAGCCATAAAAAAATTCCCTTACCCTTATAACCATATAAAAGCAATAGTAAAACAATTATTAACTGAATCTATCTGGTAGAAAATGCATGATATGCAATGTTGGCAACAGTTCTTGTAATTTATAGTGTAATATTAATGAAGTTTGTGTAAACATTAGTAATGATAATCAGTCAGTAGCCAACTCGCATAAATAAACGAAAACGAAGACGCATCAAGCTTTGGAGTAGATTACATAAGGAAACACTGCAGCATGGGTGGCGTGATTGAGATTATAAAATATGATGTACTTTGGTCAATTGCACAATACGTGTCTTGGGTATTAAATTCTTCATTTATATCAGGAGATCCAATAAATGATTCATCTCTACTCTTATATGTTTTGCTTTGACACGCGAACACATACAGCCGGGGCTTCGTGGAAATGCTTAAAGTGTGCCAGACATCGACACACTCTCCGGGCACGTACAGGCTCTGAATGAATGTTCGAGGTCTGAGTACATCAACCGGATGTGGTTCTTGTGTATTGACCAGCTAAGTCTGACTGTTTCAGACACAGTTTGTAGGGGATTCTCCCCTCACATCTGTTTCGAGTTAGATCCCGGAGGCCAGTACAGGAGGGCCTAACAATCTTTGTGGGGGATGGCAGGAAAATGACTATTGAACTGCACAGAAGAGACCAACAGCATGAGGGCCTGAGGCTGGAAGCTGGCTTATAGGAAACAGGTAGCAACTTTAGATCCCTCTTTCTTTGATTTGTTTTCCCTGAAAGCACAAAGAACACAAAGAAAGAAAAAAAAGCCATATAAATATCTGTTTATAAAACCCAGAAGAACTCCATGTCTTAAATTTGTGTCCTGTGCTTTACACTGTGTACAAACAGCAACACCATTATCTTTTATACTGCCTTAGAAAAGTAGTGCAGTAAACGGAGAGTCTTTTGACAATACAGAGGTAATTCAGCTCTCTGCTGGAACCAATATTCGATCTTGATCGTTTAGCAAGGAAGTGATCCAAGATCAAAGGCTATCAAGAAGAGACAGAGCTACTAAAATCAGATACCATACTTTATTCCTAACAACAAATTTTGCACATTTAGCTTTGAATACATTTACAACAATCACAGCTGTAAAGCATTTCTTACTCAGACATTTGGGTTTCGTCTTTTGTGGGGGGCTCTTTGGGAAGACAGAGACGCAGCAAGGGGTGACGTCTTCACGATTTCTGAGGAATAGAAAACTGTTATTGCATAAAACAAGCACAGTGATCTGATTTGTACGCAACCCATGTCTATGGTAATAGCCATACAAGTTTAACCCTATCCAAGAGTTGTGGACATGATTGATATTTATTTTCACAGGATACCTGAGGACAACCTGAGGGTCTGATCAAGTCCCGGTGGTCAACACCCAACCTCACCAGCCCCTACCTCTATCTCTCACTCACTCAGCTTGGTGGGTTCACCTCCGGGCCAGCTCACTGTAAATCAGTCCCAGATGTGACTCTGGAGGCAGATGGCGTAGCGTACGACACAGACAACACCCAACAAACGTCAAACAGATCCCCCCCCCACCCCACCCGCTTTGTCTCAAAAATCCCTCCTTACATTTCGTCACCAGCTCTGTGAACAGCTACATTACCCCTGCAAAATGACACATTACTTATCACCATTACTAATAGTTAGACGGATAAGTGGCACTATATATACAGTAGAAGCTATAAATGAAATGTAACACCAGTAATAAAACTTCTGTGACTTGGTATTATCTCATCACTTTTAGTAATGCACCATAAGATTTTTTTCTCAAGAACTTCAGTGAAGAACATTTTAAGTACAGCTGAAATAGAAAACACATGCTTTATGCCTTAATTTCTCTGTCTAGGTCACGTATCAACAGCCCAACAGTGTTTCATTACAAAATCCTTCCATTTGAGAGCATGTGCTTAAAAGGATTTCCCAGAATCTCACCCGGAGTCAACCTGACATAAAGTGCATCTACCACTCCTACACGTATTAGATAAAAGTTCACCTAATCTTTCTCCAGGCTGACCTTTACGCACATTTAAACGTTAACAATGTTGTCCGGGTATACATAAACTTGGATTACTGGAGGTAGGCGATCTTCCAAAATGGGAAAAAAAAAAAAAAACCTGGCGTGGTTTCTTGTATCTCTCCATGTCGAGATAGTATAGAGGCCGGGGTGGTGAATCTTAAGTTCTGGAGTGTGTGGAGGCAGTTTTGCCAGACTCATTTTTCGAAAATAGACGAGTCGTGATTGTTTTTGTTTTGCTTTGTGGTTACCATTGCACGTCTCTGAGTAAATGAAATGATTTTCGCGTGACCAGGGCAGAAGTCGAGCAGCAGCGTCAGGGTGAGGGGGCTGCTCGACTGACTAACGTCATGTCGGACCCAGTGAGAAAGCCATCTGTGTTATGTCATGATTGCTGAGGCACTCCACCCTCTTCTCTGTTTCCCCATTTCCCCGTGTCTTTCTTTTTCCCTTCCAGACTCCCCCCACCCACGGCTTGTCTTGCCTTTGCTGTATTGCTGTGTGTTTTTGGTTTAGTGTTACAGACACGGTTATTGTGTCAGCTGTTTATGTATTGCATTGCACATCTCTAAACAAATGTGGCTTAAGACTGAAAGGGCTGACTAGCTCCACCTCGGTTTGTAGTTTTTCCAAACTCTTGCACCTAACCCTGTGTTCTTGTGTCCCCTCTGCCACCACCCCCACATTTTGTTTTGATTTTAGTGGTTGACCACCTTTAGGTTTTTGACTATCAGCTTTCTGTCCTCACTTGTCTTTCTTATTCGATTTACAAGCCTGCTCTTAAGCACCACCTGGAAACCACATGTGAATGGTTTACAGCCTTTCATTAAGCTGAGGAGTGCTCCAGTTAAAAGCTCCAGCTAAAGTGTGAATTACCTCAAACAGAGCATTGTTAACACCTAAATTACAGCACTAAAGCCAAAGTAAGACACTGTATTTCTGTTGGTAGGCAAAATATTATTGAAATGCTGTGAATTTCAATCCTGCACTATTCTTATTAAAAATAGAAGGTCCGTCCTTTAATAAATCTTCAACATGAACATACAGGACATTTTTCTGTTGTTTCACTCTCTCTCTCTCTCTCTCTCTCTCTCCTACACACACACAACATACAGGACATTAACCACCAACTACTGAGAACTTTAACAAGGTAAAGTCTTCCATCACACAGTTGAGCTTTCAGGGGAAAAACTCTGTTTGCTCTGATTGCTTGCTGTAATATGACATGTTTGCTTTAATGTGGTAATAATAGCTTTGGAAATTGAAATTTGACAATTGTGTGGAACTGTCAACAGTAACATTAGTGCAATAAAACCTGTGTAGCTCTGGACAAGACTAAATCAGTGTGTGCACAGTAGATGACCGGAGACAACAATAACCTCCCTCTGGCTCCTCAAAGGCTTGTGTGGTCAAATTCATTATCTCATTACATCCCACGCTCTTTCTTTTATGGATTATGCTAATAGAACTGATTACTACTACAGTGTAACTGCAGAATTTGTGCATCGCTTCTTAACTTTTAATGCAAAGTAGTCTGAGTAACATCACAGTGAAATTTGAGAGTCAAACTGAGGAGGAAACTTACAGCAATCCCGTGAGCTCATGTTGAAGTTTTTGCTCCATCTTGTGGTGAAAAATTGTAGGTAAAACATTTGTGCCAAGTTGTTGCGCCACATTTTATGTCTTTATATCACTACAGTAATGACTGTAAATGGTGCAATAGCAAAGGAAATGTGTTATAGTGCGTTTATGCATTTCACAATGGATAAATGGGTCATTCCAGAACTGGAGGACAATTTATGCTTCACAAATGCTAAAAAACATGAAGTTTTTTCAATGTAAATTTCAGTTTTATTTAAATGAACCACCAACAATGAGATGCTTGGCACAACCGTATCACCACCACTCGAAGAAGTAACTATAAAAAAAAGGGAATATATTAAACCTTTGTAAGCTAAAAAAACAACAACAAAACATTTAAACTATTTTATTGCATAATTTTTATATTCTTACATTTTTTTTAATTTAAATGTCTTCTGTTCTTATCTATCAGGGTTGACTGGAGGCATTACTTTTTTGTAGACTGACAAAAATACTTTTAATATATATTTGCAATGTTTGTTTAATAGGGTAACATTAGCATTTTTGTAGAAAAATGAATGTATTTCACAGTAATGGACTGTGAAAGTTGAGGATGAATGCAGTTATATAGTACAACTAAATGTAGGAAACTTTAAATGCATCTTCTTTTAGTAGCATAGTAAGAGGGCTGCACTGGTTAGATATACTCTGTCTGAAAAAAAAAAAATAGAAAATATAAAGATAAGGACTCATCTTTGGTCTATCCATGAATTATTAACAATTATAAGAGACTTGTAGCAACAAATCCAAAACAAAAACATATTTTAAGTGTTATATTTGAATTGGTTATTAAGAAACCGAGACAAAAGAAAACTGCCACTTTAGTAGATGCTCAAGAGCCGTTTCATATTTTAATCAATATTTTGCATTTTTAGTATAATGCAAAGTACTACTCCAACTCTGGCAAATTGGTGAGACAAGCATACATAGAGTTGTGCCTCCTGTATTATTTTCAAATTCACGAATGGAATTCTGGCACCAAATGAGATGCATCTGTCTCGGAGCCTCTGAATCACTTCCTGTTTGAACAGAGCACTGAATATGAAATACTGGGAACAGCCCCCCCCCCCCCTTTTTTTTTTAAAAGAAACAACCAAAAAGGAATTTCGTTTCATAATGAGATTTATTTACAGATGAAAGTGGGAGAGCTCCCTTGTGCATTTTATTATCAGAATTCATCGGTTTTTCCCAAACAAAACAGCAGGAAATTTCAGTCACGCATTCACTCACACGCAAAAAAAGTTGAAAAGTTGACAATGGCCACTTTAGTCCTACGTTTAAAAGAAAAAAGAAAAAAAATAAAAAAAAGTGGCAAACCCAACAAACTGCACTACCTAAAATTTAGAAACCTTGATTTAAAGCAGAATATATATATATATATATAAAAAGAAATAACTTCAGGTCAGCAGGCACATGGTCACAGATGCTCTTACATATAATGAAAAAGCAAAAAAAAAGCAAAAAAAAAAGTTGAAATTTGATGCCAAAAGCAAACCCATTGCAGACTTAGGCACAATATCAGTCATATACCACGATACTCTGCATGCTGATGGAGAAAAGCACTACATAACTTTAAACCAAAAACTATTAAAGACAGGAACCTGAGATATAAATTGAATTACCTTACTACTTTAGCATGATCAGCAGTCTTAAAAGTGAACAACTTCTGCCCAAAATTTGGCAAGATATTTCAACGTTAATCTCAAGCCATCGCTGACAATGGAACGAGGACATCTAGGCGATGCATACCAACGCACCCATTACGTGACAAAGCAATAGGAAGCAGTACCAATGTTAGGGTTACAAATGAAGTTACTCCATTTGTTGTATTATTTGGACTAATAAGATAGAACGAGAGGAGGGGGCATAGACAGCAGACAGCAACTGATCTGAATCTGTGAGCTGGGGAGGAGTAGCAGTGCAGTCTGCTGCTAGTTGGCTAATACTGTAGGTACTATGGGTCCTCATTCCCCCCAGCTTGAGTGAAATTGCATGGAGGCAGAGGGAACAGAGGTAGACAGGGAGGTAAATGTGGAACCAGAGGACAGACAAAAAAACAAAACAAAAAACAAACAAACATTGAGAATGTGGAATTGGAGGAGTAGCTACATAGCTGGTCTTCAGAAGCCTGATGGTGTCAAAACATTCATGTCCCGAGGTTTGAGTTTATGCGGCCGTGGGTTTTGCCGCTTGGCTTCAATGTCTGAGATTTCAATCTTGGGTGGCATAAATTTTGTAGGGTCATCAACCTTGAGGTTGACCTGGGTGTTGGTGCCATCCATGGTTGAGGATTTCTGCAGACCAAAATAGGATTGCAGAGACAAACCTGCAGGAGAGAGGTGTGGTAGATGATGTCATTAATTTCTTAAGAGTTGCAAAGAGAAACACACAGCGTCACTGGTGTACTGTGTGAAATTTCCCTGAAATATTCCACCTACATGCCGTTATAGCTTCTATTAGAAAACTTTTAAATTGCACCTTATTCTGCATTTAACCATGTAAAGCCTGAACCACGAAATAATTGCCAGGAAATTCTTCTTTAAAAGCAAAACAAAAAAACTGGAATGTTTATTGAACTTTCTGACAAACTCAAGGTCTCAAAAAGGTCTAGTCTTTTACAGGGTTAAAATATGCATGTTACGGTGAAAACAAGCTATGTTATCACATGTGATTAGGATCACATTTTCTGTTTTGGTTTCTGTGATGTGAGGCCTGTCTTTGTAAACAGTTCTGCAGGTTGTGGTTTCAACATGGCTGTGGTATGACTAGAAGGAAGTAGTTTCAAATGCTATCAATTTACAAACTTTTTTCTCCCCCCAAAATAAAAGGGAGGGTCAGTGCAGTTTGTTTTGATGTAAGGTTCAGGGTTATGACAATTCACCCTATTCGCAAAGTATCGGCATAGAAATGCTAAAAGCCTGAAGATACAGAAACAGGCGTGAGCACAAATCTTTTACCTGTGCTGGTTTCAGAGCCAGGATCAGTGGGGGACTTCTGTACCACAGATCGGATTCCGAAGAAACTCCACCTATCTCCTCCTCCTCCTTCATTTCCTCCCATGTCTGTGCTTGGGTTGGGACTGTGGGTCTCAGGTGCAGCAAGGAAAGGTGCAGGACTCAGATGAAACCAGCTCCTGTATTCCCATTACCCAAGCAC